ACACCTTTTTATAGGCCATCATTTGGGACTAAACCAGCTAATATTAATTTCCACTGACTAGGGGCAGGATTGCTTTCTAATTACTGATAGATTTCTGCTGGTGTCTTGGCTTTCCATGCCTTTTTGCACTTCCCTTCTTCATGTGTTCAATGCTTTTTCCCTGTGTCATTCCACTTTATTACATTTCACAACTTGATTTCTGAACTTATTTGTTTAGTTTTCTTTGTATGTATGGATTACTTGGGTTGTTACCGACATCTGGTGAAAATTTCATGTCAACAGCACCTTTAGAAATATATTTACTGAGAAAAATGGTGACGTGTTCAATACTTATTTTACTCACTGTATACACACACACATATATATATATGAAAAATGTTGTTGATTGAAATATTATTTTAAACTCAAATGTTAATGGAAGCTATTTTCTATTCTTATATTTACAAAAAAAAAATTATATTTATATATTTTTTTATTAAAAAAATATATATCAGGAAAATTAAGTCAAATATATTTGCTTTACTTATATTTACTTATATTTCATTTTTAGGACATTTCCCCCCCTGTATTAAATATTGCATCCAAAAATAAACACCGAAAACATATTTTTTGCTGAAAGGGACGATCTGGATTCCCCCTGTCCTGTTTTTGCTTTGAGGAATAACCTTCTACTTAAAAATACAGCAGCGCTTCCTGCTTTAGACACGCCTGCAACCCAGAATAACATCAGCCGTAATGAGCACTCAGTCACCGCAGCATATGCAGCCAAAAAAGCATCACTGTTTTTGTTAAGAAACGCATCGTATCTCCTCCAAATATAAAAGAAAAACTGGTACTGACAACAGAGGTTAAAAAATAGAATTCAATTTAACTGTGCCGGAGGCTAATTTATAGGGCACCTGATTATTTTGCAGCTTGTTATCTGTACTCCTTATATAAACGATGTACCGGCAGCCTCACTGCAGGAAAGGTTAACATATGCAGCATTTGAAGCATACTAAAATATGAGAATGTATATGCTCTTTTTTTATACATAACATTAAAAAGTAATGAGCTCTATAATTTAATTTAGCTATTCAACATTGCACCGGCTATCAAGCCTATTTATACTAAATAAATGTTTCATTTTAAATTAAAGGGTAGCACATCATTTTGTGAGACATTTCTTCCAATACGGACTGTCATGTATGCATAAACGCTTAATTAAGAGTCTAATTTAGTACCTTTTTCACTTAACGGTGTGTGGGAGGTTTGCTTTTATGGCTGTATGCAGCACTACAAACTCAAGGCTTTGATCA